AAAAAAAAAAAACGGTTTCCTCACACAGGAATACAGCATCCACATGCTCCTCAGACAACAATGGAAAGACCCCAGGTTGTCTTTCTTACATTACCTGAATTCCACGGAATGGCAAGATGTGTCATCCGAAGATGTGATCATCGATGGAGAAGCCTGGTTTGCCGAAAAACTCTGGACCCCGCACATCATCTTCGTCAACGAACACGACTCATCTGTTTTCGATTTTTCAAAAGAAAACGTCTACGTGGCTATCGATGCAGACGGCAATGTCTACTTCAACTGCAGGTAAACATATCAACAAATTCTTCTTCCCTAAAAAATAAAAACATCAGCTACGATCAGTTTTTTTTACGGAAGTCTTCGCAAAACAAACGCAGGAAGATAAAGCAGAATTAGGGTTAACCTCAACAAACAAAAACGAATACATGCTCCGTTAATTTGAGTATGATCGAAGAAAATAGATCGAAATAGATAAGAAGCGACCAAACTGTATGAAGCTATGCAACATGCCCCGCACAATGTCAAAAATAATATCGCAATAAAGCATTCATTTTATAAGAACTTTCGAGAGATTTTTCAAGCACAAAAATGTGATGGATCTGCACAATATCTGGCCAATATTTGTTCGGAAAATATATAAAGCGTGAATTGTTGAAAGCTGAAAATCCCATTACAAAAGATGCTTGAGAAACCCGGAGCAGTCGGAGAAAAAGGGTCCCTCAAAAATATTCCACCCAACAAAAAACGAAGAAGCAGGAGATTTTTCGAAGGTTTTCCGGGAAGTCTTTCAGATGCACCAAACATTTCAAGATTCAAAGAATTTTTGGGGGCCTCTCATCTTAATCTGGTCGAAATGTTTTTATAGATAAGGATAATTTTTGCCTGTCTCTGCCTCCAAAGATGGTTTATGTGTCACTGGTAAATACTGTAAGCCTTTGTATCTCAAGCTTAAGATTACCGTGGATGATGCAATCGAACGAACATTCAGACGACTCAAAACTAATTTCAAAGCATCATCTTTAATATTAATTTCAGTGGTATATTAGCTGCATGGTGCTCCACTTTTCAGTAATACAGGGATAAAAACAATAAAACCCTTTATTCAAGATCACCAAATCCAATATATAAGATGAAAGCATCTCGAATTGCATGAATTGTACAGAACATTTTGGAACGCTTTCATTTCTTAATACGCGCGATAAATGAATCAATTGTCACACTATTTTTTTACAGATTGCGAGTGCAGTTTTACTGCGAAATCGACTTGACCTTGTTTCCCTTCGACGATCAAACATGCCGATTGAAGATGGAAAGCTGGACGCTGACAGAAAAGGATCTTGTGCTCAAGTGGATGACCCCGACGTCGAACCTCAACTCCGTCGAAGTGGCCGACGAGTTTTCCATGTCGGAATACGATCTGTACAAAGTAGAAGCCAAGGAACACATTTACAATTACCCACATTATACCATAGAGTCAAATCCGAAAAAGATAATAAGCAATGCCGATGTCCGACTTCGTCCATCCACGGTCAAGGGGAATGTGAAGGCTTTCGTCGGGGTTCAATCCGGGAAAGTATTTTTCAAAGACGGTAAGCGTTTGTCATTTTTCATAGGCCTAGAAATTATTTCGTGTACAGTATTTCTGGCCCTCTTAAAGTATCTCTGTAAGGTCCTTGAATTCTATTCACATTTTCCCCCTTTTCATATTATCAGGATTGAGTTCCAAATCTGTGTGATTCGAATCACCTCGGAGTTCCTAATCACTGTTTGAAAAAAGTAGTACAATATATAATGAGGAACAGAAAAAAGCTGCAGATGCATACAGTTCAACTTTTTTTTGTCAAATTGAAGCTTCTGGATTTGGATTTCCAGTCATTATCCCGTCTGGCCAATTCTTTCAAGTCCATCGCAATTTAATCCTCAGTATATGACTAAAGATTTGGTGGGTCAAACCTTTTAGTCAAAATGTTGAGGTCTTCATTTTAACCCCTGTTCTAGACTGCTAAAAAAATTTAAATTATTTTCTTCATGCACCCAATAGTCAGGAATTAGACATCTTCTTGCGGGCAGGACATTCGGGAATAGGGAAAAATTATAATAATTTGACCAGATACCATATTAACTCAAGTATACCAAACACACCATTTTACCACGTTTTTATGAACTCACTTTCTTGTCTGTCTGTTTGTCCAGATCAAATTTTGAAACTCAAATTTCACTCACTTCCTGACTAGCTATCAAGCTGAAACTTTCAGGATAGCCTAGAAACTGATGACAAT